CCAGGCAGCGAATACAATAGGATTAAGGCAAGATCATTTTCATCGTACTTGACCTTCAACGTCTCCAGATCTGCAACTATTTCCTTGAACACGACAACATGGTCTTCCAACGACTCTCCTTTCACCATGCGATGTGAATACAGCTTCTGCTTGAGAACCAACTTTACTTGTAAGACTCTTAGTCATACACAACTGCTCCAACTTCAACGACAAAGCAGTCGACGTTTTCTCCTTCAAGACATCTTACAGAATATTGTTGGACAAATGAAGATGAATCAATGAAACAGTCTTCCGATCCTTCCGTTGTTTTTCCTGCATTGTCGAATCAGCTGGCATCTTCTCAATACCCAACAATGCATCATCCAAATCAAATTGCGCTAAAATAGCCCTCATCTTTACTTTTCACAACAAGAACCTTGCATTGCGATCTAACAGTGGAACATCATACTTCAACCCATTCATCTCGAAAGAATCTCAACCAATCCACATAAAATCAACAACCTCACTCTGATACCACTTGTTGGGCGCGGAAGCTCCAAAAACACAAGTTGATTCCAATGGATTTTGAAGAATGAGATTATAATGACAATCATGAAGTAAAGCAGATCACGCGACGAAAAAAAGATTAAATTTGTAAAAGAGGAACAAAGAAAATTAACGCAAAGGAAACGATGTTTTTATTGAATAATATGGAGAATACAAGCCAATTTAGCTAACTGTTACAATTAAAACTGAAAAAGATGTGCATTTAATTTATAGGCTATGACCAAAAAACCTAAAAGGGTCCTAAAAGGTAAGGAAATATATTATAATTAGGAGAAAACGTGGATGGGATTCTAGTTTCCTATTTTATCTTGGATACAATTTGATTTCCTTCTCAAACTTGGATTCTAATTATTCCTTTCTAAGCCAAGTCAAACACGTAATCCCAAGACTCCTATTCCATATTAGAGTCACAAACCTAACACTATTGATCTATAGTCAATTTTGACTCTAGAATAAGGATTACATTCTTCTTTGATAAGACGAATATCCTCCTAAGACGCTAGAGTCTTGAATCATCTTACCCTTATTATAAAGTAATTTGTGATCATAATGATTTCCTAATAAAAATGAGCATATAATGAACAAATTTGCTCTGATACTTTGTGTTTACTATAGCCATGACGATGGAGGTACATTAATATAAGTTTTATCATACATTTGTTTAATATTTTCTGAATAATTATATCATGAAGCTAATTGAGAAGGTTGTGCTTCTCTAGTTGAAACTCTTGTATAGAATTTCGAACATATGCTTCTTGAAATTAATTATTAATCCAAACATAAAGTCTTCAAAGTTTCACTAATAAGCGACTAAAATTAGCTTTGAGAAAAAACAGAAGACACTAGCAATAATCAAGCTGAAAAGGATGATGATTGAGGCATATATACATTTGTTTTAAGCAAGTCGGCTTATAGTTCATATCATGATATCCACCTTTCATTGTGCTAAGCTCTAATCAAACAAAGTTATGTTTGTTGTGTCCTGCATGAACAAATTGTCATATCCGATTCTTCAACTTATCATGTTGAGAATTTAGCTTCACTTTCTTCTCTTCCAGAACATTTAACCCTCGTTTGATAGCCATTATTTGGTGAAAACCATGTTTTGAATAGTGATTTTTAGGAGAATGTATGGTTAAAAGTAGAAAAATATTGAATTTACGTATAGAATATTTTATATGAAAATAAATAAATAGAAAAAAGAGTTGGAAAATAATAATTGTCAAATAGGGGCTTAGTTTCATATCCTCAGTCTCTCTTCAAGTCCAAATAATGTAGAATATTTTATTGTGTGAATGTATGGTTGAAAATGAACATATAAAAAAAGAGTTCAAAATAATAATCCTTTAACTTATCCAAATATTTAACTTATCACGTTGAGAATTTAGCTTCACTTTCTTTTCTTCTAGAACATTTGGTTTCATATCCTCAATATTTCTTCATGTCCAAGTCATTATTAGTCGAAGAATATCAATTTTCCACATTTATTCATACACACACGTCTACTTAGGCCTACAGTATGTTCCATTAGCGAAAAATTATAATCGTACACAATGAAATCCTGAATCTTGTACATAATGCTGATGTGGCGATAATTTTGAATTCAAAAAAAGTCTAGTATAGTCGAAATATCTTCTATATGAGTAGGGTTCATTTCACAAGAAAATCACAATTTCTCTCTCTTTCAAACGCTCGCTCTCTCTCTCTCTCTCTAAGAGGGGGGGGGGGACAAAATCCCTCTCTCTCTCTCTATAACCCTTGATTTGTATTGGGGACGAAGAGCTCCATCAAATAGTCGACGGCGAGGAGAAAGGGGAAGACGATAGCATCACAATTTCAAATCTTCGACAGTGAAGAGCTTCTTCAAGTTAAGATTTGAAACGATTTTTATAGCCATTTTTGGTATTATTTTCACTTCTTTTGGACTACGCAANCGGAAGCTCCAAAAACACAAGTTGATTCCAATGGATTTTGAAGAATGAGATTATAATGACAATCATGAAGTAAAGCAGATCACACGACGAAAAAAAGATTAAATTTGTAAAAGAGGAACAAAGAAAATTAACGCAAAGGAAACGATGTTTTTATTGAATAATACGGAGAATACAAGCCAATTTAGCTAACTGTTACAATTAAAACTGAAAAGATGTGCATTTAATTTATAGGCTATGACCAAAAAACCTAAAAGGGTCCTAAAAGGTAAGGAAATATATTATAATTAGGAGAAAACGTGGATGGGATTCTAGTTTCCTATTTTATCTTGGATACAATTTGATTTCCTTCTCAAACTTGGATTCTAATTATTCCTTTCTAAGCCAAGTCAAACACGTAATCCCAAGACTCCTATTCCATATTAGAGTCACAAACCTAACACTATTGATCTATAGTCAATTTTGACTCTAGAATAAGGATTACATTCTTCTTTGATAAGACGAATATCCTCCTAAGACGCTAGAGTCTTGAATCATCTTACCCTTATTATAAAGTAATTTGTGATCATAATGATTTCCTAATAAAAATGAGCATATAATGAACAAATTTGCTCTGATACTTTGTGTTTACTATAGCCATGACGATGGAGGTACATTAATATAAGTTTTATCATACATTTGTTTAATATTTTCTGAATAATTATATCATGAAGCTAATTGAGAAGGTTGTGCTTCTCTAGTTGAAACTCTTGTATAGAATTTCGAACATATGCTTCTTGAAATTAATTATTAATCCAAACATAAAGTCTTCAAAGTTTCACTAATAAGCGACTAAAATTAGCTTTGAGAAAAAACAGAAGACACTAGCAATAATCAAGCTGAAAAGGATGATGATTGAGGCATATATACATTTGTTTTAAGCAAGTCGAACATGGGCAAAAATAACCGAGAAGAGAAACTTGGAGATTTCATTCAACATCATCATATGCAAAGGAAAAAGAGTTTCGGAAGACGTAGAATAAAATCTATGTAATTGAATGGCTTCCACTTATTGTACTTAAAATTTCAGTGATGGTTGTCCTGGGAGCACATTTTCTGTTAAGGTGTCTTGATCTAGAGTGGTTCGCATTGTATGTAGTGAACTATTACAAGTGTTCTCAATCAAGTTTTCATATTACAGAAAAGATTGCTTATTTGGTTGTCCACCCAATTATGCTATTTTACAATTCATCGCATCATTACAATCTTGATCTTGTTCTACTTAGTAAACTCGAGTGTCATTGGAATTTCCATCAAAATGGATACTATCATGCACACTATTTGCACCTAAATCTGTATAAATATATGTATTCCCATAAGCTGTGAGAATGTTAGGGAAAGAATGGCTCAATTGGAATCAAAACGTACAGAGAGCACACAATTCTTCAATTTTCAGCATTTCAAGAACAATAAAGTTCCTCGAAAGAAGATAGTATTCAGACATTAAACCATATGGTCACATAGAATATTACATCAAAATCTGGGAAGGAAAAAACAACCTCTACATCAAAATCTGCTAGAATTTTAAACCCCTACATCAAAATCTCCAATGCTCTCCTGCGTGCCAACCTCCTACCAACCATGGAATTGCAAATATCATTCACAAACTTTTCAAAATATTTTCATTAATTAAATATGAAACTCAGAGGTAGAAGACTGACATAAGACAACAAATAACAAATATGAGAGTTAACTGCGTCTCAAAATATTGGTAAATTTATATCATGAACATAGAATGAACATGAAATTTCAAACCATAAACTGAAGCAAATCTTTTATGCTGAAAATAAAAATAAATTTGAGATAAGATAAAAAATTTTATCTGTAAAAATATCACTAGGAAATTATTTTTTGTATCGAACTTGTAAGACAAATAATTACTTTTTATATTGTAAGCTTGTAAACTCGTAAACCACATTAGCTTGTAAAGACACTAGTAAGCCATATTTTAAGTGAAGAGTATACCACATCATTAGCAAACTTGTAACACAAATAAATGGAAATAAAAATATCAACAATTTTTTTTTTTCGAAGAATGGGGAAGAAACAGGGGCTGTATATCTATCTTGACATTTTTTTCTGTCTTGATATTTTTGTCAAATAATGGGGATGAAACAAGCTAAGTTGGTGTTATATTAATCTCATGCTAAAATACTTGAACATTTAATGATGATGAAGCTTTTTTGTCTTTTTGTCGGCTCGATGCAGCCGAGTTTGGTGCCATCTATAAGTTATGGAGAACACACTCAATTCAATATGTACAGTGATTATCAAAATAAACAATTTCTCTCGAAATCATACCTTAGGATAGATTTTTGATTTCCTAGAACCAGCTTCTAGATATCCCTTTCGGGGAAGTTTTTTAGGAGCTTTCTTGCTTTTTGTGTATTTCAGGTCCAAGATGATTCTACTACCACACGTTTCGGCTTCAGCCAAGTGTTGAGAGCCCACGCTACTATACTTCAACATTGAAAAATCATTTGTTTAGATTTCAATCCAGTCCAAGCTACCACGTGATCGTGACTCGTCATGTGCTACCAAGTCCTCTAACTTCGAAAACACATTGCACATTTGCTCATATCTAACTTGGTCTGGAGTACTAATCCAACCATCATAAGTAATCGGAACCCTTATATACAATTTGTTCACATCCCTTCTCCATCTCTTCAAGATGTACTTCTCGGGAACTAAGTTCACTTGGTTATGAATCAAAATCGTTACTGCGTGCTTGCAAATAATTCCTCTAAACTCAAACAGGTGACAACTGCACTCAAACTCGCATTCATCTCTACGAAAGCACACTTTAATAATTTTTGTCTTCATACAATTGTTCAGAATAATGTCCTCACGTACATCGTACGTAGTATGCAAATACGTCTTATGAAGTCCTTAGACTTCATAGTACACCTTTCCAGTAAATTGATCTTGAAACTCCTTGAACATCACAATTGTATAAACTGATTGGAATTGTCTCTCCATTTCGTACCTTGTCGCACATGGGTCCTTTTGTGAAAATGATTTGAAGTCCGCTTGAAACTCCTTTTCAACTTTATTTCTCAATGTACACTCATATTGCTCTATAAATTGCTTTAGAGATGTTTTGGAATGAACATAGCCATCAAAAAATGCATGAATACCTTCAATCAGTTGAGTGGTTGGCATACCGGCCCAAAGTGGTGTTTTCAAAAAGCATGGCACATCGACTTCTTTCATTGTATAGGCCGATCAACCAAGCATGTTCTAGCAATTCGTAATCATCGAGCATCTTACTCAATCCTTGTTCAAATTCCTCGCAACTTTGCACATCATATACCAACGCATGTACAGTAGCAAGAAGGGAAGCTTTATGTCTATGGCCCCCAAATTTTTCTGGTAACTTTTTCAAAATATGTCATAGGCACCATCTATGCTTTGTGTTCGGGAACATGATTTCAGTTGCATTTTGCATAGCACGATCTTGATCTGTAATTATTCCACATGGAGCTTGAGCATACATACATTCAAGCCAGGTTCCAAATAGCCATACTAAAGTCTTCGTGTCTTCATTTGAGAGCAAGCCACATCCAAATAGAGTTGATTGTCCATGATGGTTTATCCCAACAAAAAGGAGTGAAAGGCATCTCGTACTTGTTAGTCAAGTACATGGTGTCAAATGTAACTATATCACCGAATTCCTTACACCCTTGCCTACACCTGTTATCTGCGCAGCTGGGCCTCATCATCCAAGTCTATGCTAAAGAAGAAACCAGGACTAGTTGCTTGCATCTTTGTAAAATACGCTTGTATTGCAAGAGCATCTCCTTCACCCAGTCTTAACCCTCAGACTTTGTCAATGAAATTTCTACAAGAGGAACAACAATCAAATTACTGCTTGTACATTACGAATTAAAAAATGTGAATGAAGAGAGCTTAAGAGTGTGGATAATGACAGATACACCACCAATGTTCAAAAGGATGGTCACTCAAAATCAGGCAATCTATTGAAACTTTGGCACCCTCACGGGTGACAATAATTGATAAACAAAAGTTTCAATAATGCTTAATGAATCTGTATTTTATTATTATTATTATTATTTTTTTTTTGTAAGGAAAACTATAGAGCTGTTGTAAAATTTAAACACAGACTTCTTTTTCTTCCTTCTATAATTTACTATCCAATCCTCCTTTCATAAACACAAGGCAAAAAACATGAGCAGTTATTGAGATGATCACAAGTTAATGTTCTTATCAACTCACAAAAACCTAGAAAATGATTATTAAGTTAATACAAATAATTGATATAACAGAAAAATCACATGGCTAACTGCTTTAAAAAGATGGCTGCTTAGTACTAACAAAATAAACCAAAACGAAACAGAAATTTCCATCAATTAATTCAAAAAAATTATGACTACAGCCGAGTCTTTGTTAATAATAGATTTCTCTTTAGAGTATAGAGAACCAAATTTGGATTTTGCGTAGGATATATTCATCTGGACAATACTGCCAGGGAGGAAAATCTAGAGTATATTCATCTGGACATATCAAGATTATGAAGAAGAAATGTTACCCATGTTGTTGCTGGAATCGATGTTGCCACCGTCGGAGTTGCCTCTTTCCATTTCATATTCATCTCTACAATAAACGGGTTTTGGGTTCAACACAAATGGTGCAAATAGCCACGTCAGGTTAACCGTCATGTCGTCGTCGGCATCGATGTTACCGACATGGTCGGATGGGTTTTCCCTCTTTCCATTTCTTAGTCATCTTGGGGGGGATATGGAAGAGAAAGTGGTTTGCGAACTGGAGGGAAAAATGAGTAGGGTTAAGGTTTAACAATTGCAAGAAAATTCCCTTTTTGGCTTCAGCGATATTTTGATTTTGAAATGTCAAAATATCGCCACGTCAGATGGTGTAAAACATTGTGTGAACCATTGGTTACGTCTAGCACCATCCTTAGCTCCATTAGCACTCCTTGGCTGTGCCGAAGGCTCTTAAAGTTCTTAATTGGACTCCACCAAAGGTATGTATCATTGTACAAATGTTCAATGAAATAATTGAGCCACGATAGGTTAGTCTTTAATCAAACAAATGTTACGTTACATTTATGCTTGTCTAATATCAATATGGGAAAAAATGTAAAAAAATAAATAAAAAAAATTGCGGGCAATATAACCCTTATATTTCAAGCATGGATGATTATACATCCCAAAATAGTATTTTTCGTTTTATCAATTTTAATTTCATTAAATACTCATTTTGTAATGTTTTTGTTTGCTAAAAAATTAGTCAAAGTTCATTTTTAACCACACATTTAATGGAGTTTACAATTTTTATCCATATTTTCTCCACACATTTCGTCAGACCCTTAAGCTCTTACCAACTTTTGACAACATGAAACAATCTAATATCATATTTTGATAAACAACAAGAGGATATTAATATCCTGCTCCCTTGCGACCATGACTTAAATAAAGTCTGGTGTAAATTAGCTTGAATCACTAGGGAAGTCGAATATTTAAATTGTTCCTAATATGTAAAAGTTCGTTAGATAATGTAACCAACTACAAATATCAATCACTTTTTAAAAAAACTATTGACCATAATGTTTTCCCGATTTCCATTAGAATACATATTTCAATTCCAATGTTAGTTTTTTATCAATCGAATAATAAAGTAGAATAAATAAATTTGTTGACATGCTAAAAGTGCAGCCCAATTCAAATAGCTCAAAGAATGAAACCCAACTGGGCAATTCGGGATAAAGGCCCGAATAGGGTTATTAATGAATGCAGTGTAAGTCTACGAATGCGGTAACACCATCGCCCAAACTTACAAGACGTCCAGGATCTGAGCTAATGAAGTGTCTTGCAGTCGTCCAAAGTTGTAATCCCGTTCTCGTCCAAACCTTCAAATCGCCCAGGATCTTAGCAAACATAAAGTATTATGGTTATCCAGAAGTACAGTTATCGAAGTAGTTATTGGGTAATCTTATCACGTTCCACGATTCAAGAAGTTTAGTTGAAGACAGTTGAACGACAAAGAGTAGTGGCAGCATTTAGAGATGGCAGTTCCACGATAAGTTGGCCACATGAAAAAAATGGGCAGTTATAAAGCAGTTTCTAAGCGGTTGATCACAAAGAGAGCAACAAGGGAATATAAAAGGAAGAAAAAACATAGAGCAAAGGACCCAGAATCAAACACTCTCAGACAGAGAATATGTAATTTCAATTCCTTAGTTTAGACTTAAAACATTTCTTTTCAGTACTTGTGTGCTTACGCCCCTTAGAGGCATTTCTGTTCAAGTTCCAATTGTAAAATCATTGCCAATAAAACACCCCTTTTCAGGACTTTGTCTCAAGAGGTTTGTCCCTTACACAATCGTCTGATCCCTTTTTAATTATTAGCGACAACCCGCGCGAAACAATTTAGCACGCCCAGTGGGACATTGGTGTTTGGTGTTGAAGATACAAAAGGTGAAACAATATGCCTCAGAAATCCGATAAGGAAGCAGCAAGTCAGGGAGGAGTCCAGTCTGTGATCGAGCGATATGAGGAGCAGCATAGCTCTCCACGAACAGATGGACAGAATCAGAGCAATCATAGTCGTTACGAACTAATGACAGAGTTGAGTCCTCGAACCATGCGTGCATTACTCGGAGAACTCACACAAGATATCGTTGAATAGGTAAATCTATGAAGTATTCATAATATGGAAAGATTTACCCAGAATGGGAATGCGCATTATGACAACATGGCCAAACAACTGAATACTTTAAACGAAATAATGAATAAGTTAGTAGGTCAAATTTGTCAGCCAGTTGTGCCTCTTGCAAACCACTTTCAAACTAGAACAATTGTGGGACATAATCCCC